CTTAGAAAGCGAGGAAGGGAACTGAGAAGAGGCATTGAGCCCGCACTTTCCAGAGAGAGACTGACCTCTTTCAGGGAGGCCTCACTAGTCACTGAGAGGCAGAAGGTCATGGTTGGAGATCAACTGCCAGCAGCTTTGGGTTTTGAGAAGCACCTTAGATCTGAATTATTTATCTCTCCCAAGAGGACGCCGAAGAGATAGGAAGTCCTGGCTCTGGTGGCTAGAGTTGTTGGATTTGGAGTCAGGAAGTCTTGAGTTCAAATGTGACCTTAGACACTTACGAACTGTGTGACCCTGGGCAAGTCACTTGATATCTCTTGGCCCCAATTTTCTCATATGAAAAATGGAGATGATAATAGCACCACTTTCCCGGGTTGTTGTGAGATCGAGTGAAATAATACTTGTAGAGGATTTGCAAACATTATCGTTACTGTTGTTGTTCAGTCATTTTTGACCCTTCGTGACCCCATTTGGGGTTTTCTTGGCAGAGATACTAGAGTGGTTTACCATTTCCTTCTTCTGCTCATTTTACAGATGAGGGAACTGAGGCAAACACGGTGAAGAACTTGCCCAGGGTCACATTGATAAGTGTCTGAGGCTGGATTTGAGCTCATGAGCATGAGTCTTCCTGATTCTAAGCCCCCCTGCTCTATGCGCTTCACTGCCCAGCTGCCCTTGCAAATGTTAAAGCAGTGCATAAATGCTCGTTATCATGATGGGGAAATGGAGGAACCACTGTGGGCAGGGGTTCCTTGACTTACCCGAAGTCACAATGCAAGAAGCACATCTAGAACAAGGTTTGTCATGGGGTCTTAGCTCTAGAACCAGAAGAGACCTCAGAGGCCATCTAGTTCAACTCCCTCATTTTACAGATGGGGAAACTGAGGCTCAGGGAAGTTAAGCGACTTGCCTAAGCTCACTCAGGTAGCAAATGTCAGAAGTGAGAATGGAGTCCAAGGACCTGGGGAAAAGCCAGTATTCCATCCTCTGTGCTTCACTGCCTTCTTTTCCTTCCCTCTGATTTCTGTGTAGATGGATAAAGCATCAGCTAAGAGCTAAAGGCTGGGGATACCAATGCCAGCAAGCATGATTGGCCCTGCTGCCCTCAAAGAGCTTACCTTCTCTCTTTCTTTTTGAAAGCAATCAGGATTCAGTGACTTGCCCCAGGGTCACACAACCAGCAAGTGCCTGAGGTCAGATTTGAACTCAGGTCTTCCTGGGTGCCCCCCCCTCCCCCCGCCCCGGCCCGGTGCTCTATCCACTGTGCCACCTAACTGCCCCAAGAGCTTACCTACATGTGAAATTGAGCTAGAAAGGGTTGTGAGGAGGTGGTAGTTGGCACTCAAAGTCTAGGTAGAGGAATAGGGGTGGGCAGGGCCCTGCAGAGAGAAGACAAAAACTGACCCATCAGAGCCCAACACCCCAAGGTCTGAGTCCAGGTTACCTGAGGGGAGGAGGTAGAGTAGTGTGGGCATGGCATCCCCAGCCCTTAAATGGCATTGCCTGATCTAGGCAATAAAGAATTAATTCTGTGTTCTTTGGCTCTCACCAGAATGGGGCGGGTACGAGTCAAAGACGTGCGAATTCTGTTCCTGGCTGGGGGTGGGGTGAGCAGTGTGATGAGGGTACCCTGAGATCATAGAGGGCCCCAAAGCTGTCTGAGCAGTTGCTGAGCATAGCTGGCCCTGACTTTCAAAGTCTCAAAGAGCCCAATTCCTTTGTATTTTATCTTCCTCTTCTTGGACAGGTGGGCCTCTTGGGGCTGGTCAAAGTAAACTAGGCAGCTCATAACCAGAGTCAGAAAGGCTATGTGGATCCCCCACCCCCACCTGAGCAGGCCATCCTCAGGGACCCTGATTCGATTTCCTCCGATCATTAGAGCTGCCATTTGCTAGAAGTAATTAAATGGTATTTGAATTGGATCCAGAAAATCTCATCATTGGAAGGAAGAAAGCCTGGAAGGAAAGTGCATTTTTCGAACCTCTGGGGCTGCAGTCCATCCTTCTAAGAAGAGGTCAGAGCTACCCCTCCTCCCTGGGAAAAAGGATCTTCAGCCTTTGTGAGGCCATACCTCCTGTCTACTTTGTTAAAGCATTAGATGTATGTTCTCTTTGGGAACCCCTAGGCCTCGTGACTCCAAGTCACAGTTTATCCTATTACACCATACTTGCCCCTCTTCTGGGAATTCACTACCATCCATCTCCATTCCACCCTGCACTGACTGCCAGGGGGTGAGTCTTCTGATCATAGAGTGAGAGCCGGTCATCAGAGGTTGGGTTCTAAGGATTAAAGCAGTTAGGTTACTAGTCGGTCCAAAGTCACACAGACATTTAGTTTCCAAGCTGTGATTTAAACTCAGGCCATAGCATCACAGATCTAGAACGTGAAGGGATGGTAGAGGCGATCTAATTCAGCTTCCTCATTTTATTTTATTTTTCAATTAGTAGGCATTTATTTTCCTCCACCTCTTTATCCTCCCACCCCATTGGAAAAAAAGAAAAACAAAAACTAAACCCTTGTAACAAATACGCAGTGACAAGCAAAAAAATTCCTCCCACCCCACATTTTACAAATGAGGAAACGGAAGCCCAAGGAGGTTTGAATGACTAGCTCAAGATCATACAGATAGTAACATCAGAAGCAGAACCTGAACCCAGATCCTCTTACGCCAGAGCCCAAGAATGCTCTTTCCATTGCCCCACCCTGCCTCATTCCTCTGACTCCAGCTCTGTGGCTTTTTCACCTGTAACATGCCCCATATAGAAAGGAGAGCTGGGCAGCCCTTCCCCTCAGAGTCAAGATTGGATTCTGTACTGGGAGCCTAGAGACTTTGGTTCCCATCTCTTCCTTGCTTTTGACTCACTGTGTAACCGTAATTACCCTTGAATTAAACATTTCTTGATTGAAGGAGCAGCCTAATGTAAACTCCTTGGGTGCTGGGACTGTTGTGTCTTTGGAATTCTTATTGAATGGAATGGAATGAAATTGAATGATGGGTGATTAATGAAAGTCTTTTGCTCCTCTGTTAGAAGACCTGATTTCATTCAAACTTCAGACTCCAATGTTCAAATGAGTTTGCAACATCATCCTTGAGGTTCATCCTCCTTTTGCATCGAAATCCGTGTGTTCCTTCTTGTAATGCGATGGCAGCCCTTCCACACCTGCCCACCCTGTGCTTCTCACCTATGTTGTCCCATAAGGTAGTGGGAAGGATTCAGGGGACGGGGATGGGAACCAGGAGTCACTCGATGACCTCAGGGCCTTCCTCTCTTACTCTTAATATTCCTAGGAACCTTAGGGGCCAGGGGGCTGCTTATCACTTATCCCTGGCTCTGGCCTTAGGATCAGCCTGTTTTCTTTGTTGATCACGCATTACTCTGATGACATTTTTCATTCATGCTTCCTAATTTCGTTTGTGAGGCAGCCTGCTCACACCCACCTGTCTCCCTATTGCCCTGAGCAACAATCAATTTGGATTCTTCAGTCTGTAGTGTTGAGTGATTCAACCGCAGTACAAGAACCCTGGTAGAATATTGGTTTTTAAAAGATGGTCCTTTGTTTCAGGGAGAAATTGAAGTTGGGGGTCACTAGAGAAGCTCTGTAGTTTCCCCTTCCCATTCCCATTTCCTAAAAGGGAAGTGTCCTTTGGAGAAAAGGCCCTGTGATTCATACTGCTGTCTTCTTTTTGTGTTTGCTCAGCTTACTTGTCGATAAGAATCATTTTGCTCTTCCCAGCTGGGTGTGAATGGATCTGGGATAGCCAGGGTGGTGGTCTTGTTATTGTAACCACTGGGTACCCCTTTCTGTAATGTGGTTCCCGGTAAGCTCCTTTCTCTTCTGAGCCCAGCTGGCCCGTCTTCACCTCCTGCCATCCCTCCACCATCCTACTCTACCCTGCAAGACTTTAGAACCACAAAGGTCCTGGGTCAGAGAGAAGAGAGCTGCTGGCTTGTCTTCCAGGCTCTGCTGGGCTCCTACTCTGGTCCCTCTCTCAGTATTTTCATCTTCTTGATAAATGTTGGCTTAGGATGAGGAAGCCTGACAGGCAGCTCATTGTGAGGGACCAGAGCAGGCAGGAGGGTTTGCATGAGCCGATGGGTGGCAGAGACCAATTCGCCCCCCTCTCTGATTCATTTGGGGGGGAGGGCAATGCTTCCTCTTACCCACCCCCAGATACCCTTGCAGGCTCTCAGTTGCCATGGGGATCTCACCATGGTGCCAGTTGCTTTGGTGCCAGGGAGAAGGGAGGGAATAGGACTTGGGAGGAGAAAGCCCTGTCCATGGCTCTCCCTGCTCATGCCAGATGGATGCTTGTTTCCCCATTCCATCCCTTCGCTTTAGGGCTCACACTGCTAGCCCCTTGGACTTGGGCCTAACTTTGCATGTCTGACCTGTGGTCCCTTTCAGAGGACCCTGCCCTTCCCTAGGACTCCTTGAACATTTTCTGGCTCATAAGACTGTCCCTATCCTTGGCCCATCTCTCCTCCCAGAGATGGGGCCCTGTGATACCTGGCTCTCTCCCAGGGATTGTGCCCCAAAAAGTCCCACCAGCTCCAGGGACCCGGGCTGAGGCCTTCTGGGAAAGAGGGAACATTTGATGCCTGCAGGAAGTGAAATGCAGCTGGGAAGCTTGATAGACAGATGCTAATGCCTCTTGGCCTTTATGGCTGTTCCTATCCTCATACCGTAGCCTACTAGAGACTGGGATTTCTTCCCTGCTTCCCTTCTTAGAGCATAGGCCTACTCAGTAGGTTCCTCTCCTCTCCTTTCTTGAACCTATGAGATGAGGGACATGTTAGTTCGAAGAAAGTTTGGAGGGAAAGGGAACCCAAGGCATACTTCCTTATTTCTGGGTTAGAAGCCTCACCAGGACTGATTCTCTCTCTCTCTCTCTCTCTCTCTCTCTCTCTCTCTCTCTCTCTCTCTCTC